ACATTGCTTAGCTCAGACTAACCCTTCATAACGGCCATATACATAGATGTGGCAACAGAAGAAGGCAGTAATGGCCTTCCTGAAGCAAAATTGCGAAGTTTCATCGTGGACCGTCAATTGCTACCTCATACGACAAGGTGCCCTACATGTGGCATGAGTGGTATGCTGACCATCCTAGGTTAGCAACAGGAAAGCCTTATGAAAAAAAACGGGGAGGACGTAACATTACCAAAGACGTTCCTGAGATTCTGTGACGTCTGGGTGGAATCGCTCTTCATAAGTTTCAATTTGCAATACAGAGAACACAGTCAGGCCAGGAACTCACTGGATTTATTGTCATCGGCGAAATGAACCTATTCAACACGCGGCATCTGCACAATAATAATAATAAACAAATCAAGAAAGAGATCTAAATGAAAATGAAGAATCGCTGGCAATTTTCGTATTGGTCAGCTCGTTGTTCTGCGATAGCGGTCACTGCCACCGGTAGACTGAAGGGTTGAAGAATTTAGGCGAAAGAGGAATAGCCTCGCTTAGCGAAGGCGAATCCGTAAGGTGACGCTCGTTTGGCAAAGGCGAACTGGCGGTATGGTGATCTGGAATAAGAAAATAAATGGATATTCCCTACTTGAATTATCATTGAGCTTCCAGGAAGAAGCTGGAAGAAGCGTTGTTATGAGAAAAAACTTAATTCCATCTATGAACACAGTTGATGATAGATATATTGCTGTTTATGTGTTCCCAATGAGAAAAATATTTACTGGCCGGTAATCGTTGCTATTGCAAGTTTTGAGAAAAAACTCATCAACCACTCAAATAGAGAAATGGATTGGTCTGAGATTCTCATGTTAGTGGATCCGGCTGAATGTGTTGGGCAGTTCCCGCTACTGATATGAATTATTAACAGATGAACAGCGAACCTTTTTGCGAATGCAAATCGAGCTCGCTTCTCAAGTTCTCCATCGTCTTCAACAATTTCATCCGATCTTTTAGCAAAAGCAAATTGTCGGTATGGTGACCGCTTGGCGAAAGCGAACGATCTCATTCGCTTCTCTGCTGGCACGTCATCGATCATCTGGAAGAGGATGTATTAAAGACCAAAAAACCGCTTAAGGAAGACATCCTTCATAAAACCAAGAGCTTCAGCAACTTTTGGAGCTATCCCCGAGCCCTCTTTCCCCTGGTGGTGGGCCAAGCTGTCACAGAAATGAGTACCATCTGAACTGGTCAAATAGATATAAAGTACGAGTACTTCTCAAACTGTTAACCGCTTCCCTTCTTCGGAGGACGTTACTCGGAAGTTGTCAACGAGCTTCCCTTCGCTCAGGTGATAGCATTCTGTGATCTTGGAACTTTAGAGGTAACTTCCTGAGTGTCTACACTTTTCACTGATACCGGATTAAATTAGCAGCTTAATATACAAATTACCCACAGTTGGTTCCCGAAATTCCCCTTGCCTATGTTGACTCGATAAAGACCTGTGTAACCACCGCGAGTACTTAGAGAGTTCTGTGGGAGTACAATGTAAACTTCCATAAATTGTTTTGATTTGATATTTTACCGACTGCTTTCATATAGCCGCACTACTCCATGAAATCCTTAGAACGTTGGCTAGTTGTGGGCAAAACTTCGGCCTCGAACTGGNATCCCCGAGCCCTCTTTCCCCTGGTGGTGGGCCAAGCTGTCACAGAAACGACATCCATGTAAACTTGGGTCGATAGTTATGAACAAGTAGCTCTCAAATGATCAACCGCTTCCCTTCTTCGGAGGATGTTACTCGGAAGTTGTCAACGAGCTCCCCTTCCCTCACGTGATAGCATTCCGTGATCTTGGAACTTCAGAGGTAACTTCCTGAGTGTTCTCCACTTTCCACTGATACCGGATTAAATCAGCAGCTTAATATACAAAGTACCATAGTTGTTTCACGAAATTCTTCTTGCCTATGCTGGCCTGATAAAGACCTGGGTAACCACCTCGAGTGCGTAAAGAATTCTGTGGGAAAACAATGTAAACTTCCATGAATTGTTTTGATTTAATCTCCTACCGACTGCTGTCATATCGCCGCACTACTCCATCTGAAATCCTTAGAACGTTGGCTAGTTGTGGGCAAAACTTCGGCCTCGAACTGGACTCGAACCCGTACTTGTGCTCTACGGGCACCGTGCTCTTATCCCTTACAATACCGAGACCCTATTTGCCTTCGCCTTCTAAATGGCTTTTATGCCATAGCTTATCAGCAGCAGCCATAGCATGTGATTAGCTAAGCTACCGGCATAAGCATCAACCGATAAGTTGTGAAATTTGCTTTTAGGGGTCTATCATTGAATAAAAAGAAAGCGATCACCTGTTGTGCCAGGATCATTGAGGCAAGTGTGCATATCAGAACGACTGTAAATGTTGATTGCATTGTGTGTATACCCACTGAAAAAAAGGTTAGCAAATTTATATGGAATCTAGATGGCCCTGTAAGAGCTGTCAGATACCGAACGACTACGAAAAATCATTAAGAAGTTCACGACAAAGCAAAGAATGAAAGGTGGTGAGATCCCACTCAGCTATGTAAAAGCTTCGTTCAGACGCATTGGCGAAGTTCCAGTGGAGGGACTTCAACAAAACTTTCTCCTCCTGAGTAACTAGTCGTGCCCCATTATTCACTATCCGAAAGAACTGATCAAAGGTGCAATGACGTCATTTACCGTACTTCAAGTGAATGGAAAGTTTCATCAAGAAATTCTATACTTTTCGGTATGTTTCGAAGAGATCTCCTCGGTAGAACTAGCAATAGAGCTACCCTTGCGTGAAAGACGAAGAAACAGCTGGCACGTCAGATATTAAAGACTTTTCCACTGAGATCTAACCCCTGCATTCGACACTCCCTGCCTGGATAATTATTGGCGGTATGGGTAGACTCCCAGATGTATTACAAGTCATAATCCACTACCACTGTTTTACCATTTCCTACACTAGTAATTACAGAAAAATTCAGAGTTTCCTACAGAAAAATTCTGTCACAAATATCATTTTGGCTCAGTGAGACGTATTGTTTTGGCATAATTGTAAGTCCGATCGGAAAACACCCCTTCTATTACCGCCTTTGAGCTGCATCTTACCCGTAATGGGTTCATCTCTTCGATTGCACTCATAGACCCCATCGAACCCATGCTGGTTTTTAGTAGTGTAGAGGGATTCATCTGCCGGTACCTCATCTCTTCGATTTGCTGCTTTCATCTAGGTTCCATCCGAGGTATGAAGCTGCAAAAGATAATTTCTGACGGCAGTGATCACTTCCATAACG